TGTGTGTGTGTGTGTGTGTGTGTGTGTGTGTGTGTGTGTGTGCATGTATGTATGTATATTTACAGTCTATTTTTTAATGTATTTCCTCATTTTTTATAGAAATGTATTCAAAACCTCAATAGAATTTTGTATGGACCATTCACTGGACTGTGAATGGCTTTACTAGTAGACCTTTAAAAGACTCRTATACTAGTATTATCCATATCCCCCAATTTGTAATCACAGTGTTATTCTGGTTTATGATTAATGTCCATTTTTCTTCCAATTGTATTATCAAAACTCAACACTTACTCATCATCTGGTGTCCTAAATTTGAATATAACATTACACAGACTATGCCAACATGAATAATAACAATTTTATGCTTATTTTAATATTTGAGCTAAATAAACAACATTGGTGATAGCACTTGAATGCTCTCAAAACCAATGCAATTACATTTTATTTTGGCTACAGGTAGGAAAGCTGTGATCAGCTGAGTACACTGACTTGAAGAGCTGTTTGAAAGTAGTTTGATGGAAGTAGGATGGCTAATAAGTCTTTCCCTCAAAAGCCAATTAAGTTTATGCACTGCCAAGTGACAAACAAATAGTTAACTTTGCAATGTTTTTTTTTTCTTTCTTATTTGTGTTTGATGTCCTTTACATTAGTCAACATTCAATGAAGTTACATTTAAAGATGTCAGCGAATGGCACCTCTAATCTTAAGGGTATTAACGGAAACAATGCTTTTGATCCACGGTGTAACATTTGCAAAACTTATGATTGTTATTCATAGTTTTTTTTTTTTTTTTGGTGTTTACATTGACTGTAATCAATACTAATATGTGAACCATTGAAATAAAAAAACATAGCCAAGCCATTCTGGTTTGTGGATTGTTACAGTATGTTCTTTGCTCATCTCTATACCTTTTGAATTTATGACTGTAGACATCTTGCCAGAGCAGCGCTCTTGTTCATTGATTTAAGTTTATTACCTTGCCTGCCTTACTTCTTATACCCTGCATTTAAAATCTCCACTACTGAACACCCTGACATAAAGAAAACAAACAATCAGAATATTATTGTTTTTTTTTTCTTCTATAATAATAGTATCACCGGAAAAAAAATACTTGTTCAGTGCAGGGATTTAACGTGGCATCCCTTGCATGTTTCACACTTTGTTACTGCAAGGCAAAATGTGCACATAACCATGTGCACTTACAGACAAAACAACAACACAATAGCCATCTTTTTTTCTTCTTTCAATCCATGTGACTTCAAAAGCCAAGAGAAAGGAGACAATGATCTTTAGCTAAGGACACTTCCACGGACATACATTCCCACACACCGTCTGTAACTACTCTCYCCAAGGACTTCAAGCTGTAGATTGAGGGATCAAGTGAGACTGGCATAAAGACGAAGAAGGTTAAATGTGATTATGGCATGACAGGCTTTCACTTTTCAAAACTGAGTTGATAAACTGTGAGGCATGCATAAAATTAAAGTTGCTATGATTAAAAATGTGTCACCGAGATGCACATCCTGTATAAGCTCCCTTCAATAAATGAGATGAACATTTTGTTGGTTAATTTATCATTCGCTGAACGGAATTAAGAGCATTCATCTACATGAAGCCAAGTGACATATTGTGTATTTACAAACGAGCTCCATAATGGAATTATTTTTTGCCTGCTTTCACCGAAACCTTTCAAGGTGTAATGGAAGTCAGGAGACAAATTTAACTGCACAGATGTCCCAGTTAAATATCAGGTATATCATTGGTTTACCTGAAGGTCATCTATCTATCTACCCATATACTTCATGTATTTTATTTTTAGATAACCAAGCACATTTCTTTCCTGATTTAAACCAAAACAAAAGTAAACAAAAGYGAACAAAACAAAATGGCTGTTGTTAAAAAGAAAGGACCAGTTATTATTTGAACARTTGCATTCAGCTATTATGTCTTTTTATTAAAGAATTAAAGTGCTACACATGTCCATTTTCTTTTTATTGGTGATTTAAAAAAGATAAGCTTGCATAAATTCCAACATTTTATTTTGAACATTTACTAATGATGTTAAATGATGCGCAAAAAGTCTTCATAAAAAGGAAAAAAAAACATACAAATAGTGGTTTACACAGCAGACTTCAGCAAAGCTGGCTAGTATTATCTGGCAGCAAGAAGGGTTTGACTGCCAGCTAAGGTCTGCTATGTGAAGTTTACATGCTCTCTGTTTCTTTTTTTTACTCATGTTCCCTCCTACAATCCAAACATTTACATTTTAAGCTAACTACTAATCTACACTTGATGTGGTTCCGCTCTGCTGTGCTGTTCACAGATGTTCATTTGCACCCCAATTTATAAAGTGTCGCTACACTCAGGTCCGGTCTGGTGCGAAACACAGAAAAGGTCCAAGATGCGTCTGCAGGAAATGTAAGACTGCGCGTTAAATCCAGTCATAAATGTGGAAGTCAGAGCAAAAATAAGTAGTTCTCTAGAAGATGGATTCTAAAGACAGCTGAGACTGCATCGCTGTTTGAAACTTGTGATTTCCAAATAAAATCCACATGAATCGTGTGTGTGTGTGTGTGTGTGTGTGGGTGTGTGTGTGTGTGTGTGTGTACATATGCTGAATGGTACATATTGTCATCTGCTCTCCAAACAG